TACTTGTGCCTGAGGCCTGCTTAAGAAAATGTTCAGTGCAAGTGTCCTTTATCTGTAACCTTAGTGTTGGTGCCCATGGGCAAGTTAACATGGTAGAAATGGCTACAAACTGCTGATGTCTGTGTTTCTCATTTAATGTCCTCAGAGAGTTATTTTCAGTCTTTACCTCAGTTATCTCAGGAGTTTGAGTTATTTTCAGTCTTTAAGACTTATTTCATCAGGCCATTCATTTTTTTCTTCAATTAATTCAGCTCCTGTTGGATTGTATGACAAGTAGGAAATCCATAATATGTCCTGAGCTCACTGTGGTATGTCATGACCTGTAAAACGGGTTCTTTGGTAACTCTCAATTACCCCTGGTGTGCCATACATGGCACTCAGTGAGGTCAGTCCCTTAATAGTTGCCTTTTGATTAGCTCTTATGTTTATTTTGGCCCATTCATGTATGATCTCCATTATCTCTTGATGACCATATATCAATGTACAGTGAGTTTGCATCAAGCCTGTAACTGTGTCCACAAAAGTCAAAGCATATTTGACCCCTTCCAATAGTGGGAGATGGCCAGCGTAGTGTATCTGCCATCACTGAAGAGGGATGTCATCTTGTTTTATGTGCCCTTGTATCATCTGATTAAATGTCTCTGTACGATGTTGTAGGTATAGCTCTGAGAGCAAGCAAGACGGTTTTAGCATGCAGCAACAATATCACTTTTTTTTTTTTTTGGTACCAGGGATTGAACCCAGCGGTGTTTAACCACTGAACCACATTATTTTAAGACAACTTGCTAAGTTGCTTAAGGTCTCACTATTTGCTGAGGCTGACTTTGAACTTGTGATCCTTCTGCCTTAGTCTCCAGAGCCACTGGGATTACAGGCATGCACCACCGTGCCCAGCTAGGATTCTTTTCTTTTTGGTACCAGGGATTGAACTCAGGGGCACTCAACCACTGAGCAACATCCCCAGCCCTATTTAGTATTTTATTTAGAGACAGGATCTCACTGAGTTGCTTAGTTCCTCGCAATTGCTGAAGCTGGCATTGACCTCACAATCCTTCTGTCTCAGCCTCCCAAGCCACTGGGATTATAAGGTGTGCCACTGTACCTGGTTTAGGATTCATTCTGACATAATTATAAAACCATGGAATATAATTTGTTTTAACTCAGTTCCTGGTACTTGCCTTTCCCCTCTCCTTCTTCTTCCTCCAGTTCCCTTCCCTCTACTCTACTGATCTTTCTTTTTTTTTCCTCCACCTTTTTTTATCGGTACATTATAGTTGTATACTATACTGATCTTTCTGCTATTTACTAATATTTTTAAAATTAGTGCCTTGTGGATATACATAATGGTGAGATTCACTGTGGTATATTCATGTATGTATGTAGGAAAGTTATGTCAGATTCGTTTCACTGTTCCTGTCCCTTCTCCCTCTCTCTCTCTCTCCTTCCACTATTCTGCTGATCTGTCTTCTATTTTGATGGACTCCCCCACCTTTTCTTTTTTTCCCACCCTTTATTTTGGATTAGCTTCCGAATATCAGAGAAAATATTCTGCCTTTGACTTTCTGGGTCCAGCTTATTTCACTTAGTATGAGAGTCTCCATTCTATTTATTTACTAGCAAATCTCATAATTTCATTCATCCTGCTTTCTTAGCAGCCACATAGGGTAGTTAAAGGGACTGTGGTTTGAGCAAATTATGTTTATTTTGGCCCATTCATGTATGATCTCCATTATCTCTTGATGACCACCAAGAAGCCAGTATTGTTTGGTGGTAATTATCTGGCCAATAGGAAGCTGTTTTATATGCGCCCTTAAGATTGGCTTTACAATAAATAAATAAATATTAAAAGAAAACATGAATAAGCAATCAGGAAAGAAGTAGAAAAAATATATTGGTTTTACAGTTGACACATGTTTAGTCTCCCAGCAATGCAAATAGAACTTTCTTACTGTGGAGAGTAAGATATTTTTGTAGTTTGTAGATATTTACCCCATAAGTTATCAATATCTGTAATATATGGAGGAATGGGAGCTATGAACACCAGGTAGGGTGCGTGGCAGGAGTCAAAGCTGCAGTGTCAATGTTATGGTTCAGACTCTTAATATATTCCCCTCATGTCTTTTGAGGCAGCTAACTTGCTTGAGAATTTGTCAGGATTACCATATATCAATGTACATTGAGTTCGCATATCCACTAATACTGTTACTCTGAATATTTTTTGAAGAGTAACGTATTGCCAATTGTATATATGGCCTCTGGTCCAGAGACATGGCTCAGATCTCTGTGCCTTGATTTTCCCCCTAGCCAGCCCATAATCAGGTGTTCATAAACTCCTCAGGGGGAGCTATGACTCTGCTTTCATTATTTCTCTTAATAGGAAAGGCTTGTCTTTGCCTCTTCTGGGCATAGGAGACACGTTTACCTTTCTGTCTCCTCCCCTTTTTCTTATTGAGAGGTAATAGATGAAACTTTCTATCCTTTGGCAATTGCTTATATAATTGTACTAGAGTGCCACTAGGTTTTTAATTTTACTTTCATCCACTCCTGCTGTTATTAAGCCCACTCACATCTGCTCACAGGAGTCTTGGAGAGATCCTCCAAGTTTTAGCAGGGTTTTTTGGATTTGCATTTTCTGTGGCAATCTTTCTGTCTCCCCTAGGTCTGATATCAGTTGCACTTCTCATTGTGCCCTACTAATGGGGATAATATTGATATAGGATACCATAATTGGACAGAGGGGCTGTGTGTAATGCTGCATGTCTCATTGCAACTTTGAAAATCATACTGTCTGGTCCTGGAAAAGGCTRCGTATAAATAGCATGTTTCTCCCCCAGTTCCCACAAATAGTTCTTCCATAGAAACCCAGATGCCTCTGGGCATAGGAACATCTGAATTTGGCCATGTGGTGTGAATGGCAAAAAGCAGCCAACCTAGTAAAATGACCCCACATTTTCATCAGTGGCACTGGTGTAAAGTTACTGATGCAAAGCAGGGTGAAGAGTTACCAAARCCATTTTAGACAATTCCATACCATCCGACATTATCCCATCTGCTCCAGAGTCCCACAAATGGAACAGCCATGCCGGTATATTTTTCTTTCATTTCTGCCTGTAATTGGACCCCAGTTCCTGTAGTTCTGCCAGGGGATATGGAGAGATATGGTATATCTCTCCAGAGTCGGGGGAGAACATCTGGATCAGTCCCTTCAGGTCACTCCTGCTGGATCTTTAACTTTTGGACTATTTCACGTCTAGCTTCCATTATGGTTTGTTCTCTATCTCAACTTCTGAATCACTAGAGCTAGTGGACACCCTGAGTGGGTCCCAAATATGAGGATGCCAGTTTTCACTAGTCACTGACACCTTAACATGGGCTCTGCACCTGCAATGTCCCCTTAATTTAGCATAACAGCATGCCAGGAGCTGTAGACATTTGTCTGCAAGTTCTAAACGGTGTGACAACACATCCTTGCTGTTAGCCTATGTAAAACAGGCATCTCTTTCTAGTCTTAACTTTTCTGTACTATGTGGAGTTGAGCCTGAGTAGCTAACTTCTGTTCTATGGCTAACTTTAATGCATAGGGCAGGGGCCTTACCACCACTCCAGAAACATTCTTTGTTTCCTTTTGCTTTCCCACAACTACTTTGGATGCTGCTTTCAACACTTGTAGCACTCCTCCTTACATTTTGGCTTGTCCCCATAGGCACATGGTAGTCCCCAACCCTCTAATATGGAAGCCACCTCAAACTACATCAAGGCTGTGACTAACCCAGGATTTCCTCTCCAGAACCCATGTCCTTCTCCAACTCTAGAGCCAACACAATATATTCCTCTTGGGGATCCTCTGACTGTGCCAGTTGTTCAACCCCAGAGCTGCAGTATTCCCCAAGAATACTGTTTACCAATCCCAAAGACAGAACTTGGAGGATTCAAAAGAGAGATTTTGGTCATTTGATTATTCACACACTCCTCTGAGGTAGCAGGCCAGGATACAGTGGAGAGCCAAACTGTGCCTACAAGCAGGCACCTGCAGGACAGGCTGCATGCCCACTGTGCAGATGGATTTCTTGAGATGTTTTATGAGTGTATTCTTTTACCTTACAACCAAGGTCACTCTGCTTTGATCCTCACCTAAAGACTGGTGACAAGGAAGTGGCCAGTTTCCCCTCTCCATTTCCTTCTTTATTGTTTAGAGTCCTTACCTCACCACCTAGAACAAGATTTCCTAGGTACTGACTGGGTATACCCCAACAAGATCCAATTTAATTTCCCCTCCATATAATCAATTGTCATAATACAGTTTATTAGTCCATCTTTTCTCATTCATTTTTATGGTGGGGGGAAGCAATTGTTGTCTTGAGAATAATAACTATCTAAACAAAATATAAGCAGTTGAAACCAATGAGGTTTTAAATTTTGGGGAGGGGCATACGGGAATTGAACCCAGTGCCACTTAGCCACTGAGCCCAACTGCCCCCCCTCTTTTAAAAAATATTTTTAGTTGTATATGGCACCTTTATTTATTTGTGTGGTGCTGAGAATCAAACCCAGTGCCTCACCCAGTGCTAGGCAAGTGCTCTCCAACAGAGCCATAGCCCCAGCCCTCCCCAAACTTTTTAAATATTTTATTTAGAGACAGGGTCTTGCTGAGTTGCTTAGGGCCTTGCTAAATTTCTGAGGCTGGCTTTGAACTGGCAAACCTCCTGCCTCAGCCTCCCAAGGTGCTAGGATTACAGGCTTGCCCCACTGTGTCCTACCCAACAAGGTGTTTTTGGAAATGATAACAATATTATGAACAAGTTGTTTACCTGGGAATCAAGAATGGTTCATCATTGGAAAGTCTAATAATGTGATTGATCTCATAAACAGGTTAAAGGAAAATATTCATATCATCATCTCAATAACTGCAGAAAAAGAATGTAATAAAATATAACTGCTAATATTTTATTTTTCCTTAGAATACACTCTCTTTCTAGAAATTATTAAAAAATTCAGAGCAGAAAAAAAAATCAAACTAGAAACAAAGCATGAACACTAGGGAGATTGCAGTGCCTTATTATGGTGTCTGCCCTATAGCAGTCTTTGCTCAAGATGGCTTCATAAGGTCACTTTCAGCCCTTCGCTTCTGTGACCACAAATAGCATCTTTGGCAAATCTGGTTTCAGTTGGGCCTTTGCTCACCTCCCGAATTCCACGCAGGGTCTTAAAAACCCTTGAGGAATAAAAGATTTAAGCCTGCCCAATGGACTCCGTGATTCCGTACTTATAAAAGTGCCCCAAACGGGGGTGGGGGGAAGGAGGGGACAGATGCCCTAGGAGCAACCCGAGACCGGTCTGCGCGATCTGCCAAGTCACTGGCTCTGCCTAGGACCCAGAAATGAGAACGCTCCCGAGACTGGTGGATCTGTCCCTCCTCCGGAGAAAGGATGCGGGCAACCGATCTAAGGTGCAGAATCAAGGGTCCGGCTGTCTGAGAGCGCTAAGCAGCAGAAGCCTCCTAGGTGTTGGTGGCCAGCAGGGTCGCCAGGCTTGGGGGTCCGGAGGCCTGGCGGAGAGAGATACCAAGGGCGGCAGCGGGGGATCAGAAGGCGAGTGAGGAAGCCGCCGAGACTCGGAGAACTCAGGAGCGCTGTTGGGACCGGTGAGGGGTAGGATGTAAGGGGCTGGCTGGGACGACCCTAGCCCAGAGTTCCCTTGTGGTCTACAGAGACGTCCTCTGGAGTGAGCTGAGTGGCTTTCCAGCCTCAGCGGTGCGGAAGTGCAGCGATGACGCAAGAACCAGAGCGGCCCGTACGGCCTCGAACTCAGGTGGGCCACTCTTCCAGACGCCCCAATATCCCTTAACATCCGGGACTCCAGAATCCCTTGCCGCCACCTCAGCGTCTCTGCGCCCCGTGGGCCTGCACCTGAGTCTCCGGGGCATACCCTAGCTTGCCTTGCGCGAGACCTTTATTCCAGGGAACCCCCTTGACACCCACTGCGCTTGCGCGTCCGCTTCTGCTTTTATTACTTTGCCGGGCTCAGAAGCCAATTGCGCGTGCGCTGTCACTTCACTCTCTGTTTGGAACTGCTGGGCCGCCCTCTCTCGGCTCGCAGGTTTACCTGCTGTCTGCGGCTGGCGGCTGAAGTTTCCCTGGCACCGAGCAACTCGCAGGTTCTGCATTTCGCTGAGTTTCGTGCCCTCCAGCTATTTGGAAAGCTCCGAATTCCAAAACTTGCCCGGCCCAGTCGTTTCTGATGAGGGACTAGGGACCTGCAAGGAACTATACAGGAGCAGTCCTCCTTGAAGGCTTAACGAAAGTGTTCATTTGTACAAAACTTTTGTGGATGTATGTACAGTGTAGTTAGGTGCTAGGTCAAAGGAGCATAAGCAGGTATTCATGCCCAGGGATGGCCTGTGGGACATCCCAGTCTAGCAACCCTTTCATGATTGTATTGCTCCCAGGGTCCTTGCTCCTTGTGTGGGCCAGACAGACCCCAAGAGGCAGTAGCCTTCTAAAGAAGGCAGCCCTGGCAACTCACTCCTGTGACTGTTTCCCGCGTCACTGTCTCTCTTCATTGACCTGTCTTCCAAACTGTGGCAAGGTCTTTTGCAGAATCCTGTCCTCCAAAGCCTCTTCTAGTACTTCTCCATCCCTTAGCACAGTATGTCAAAGAATGGTGAATGTACTTCTGTCTTTTCTCTGATTCTATCTGTCCCCCAGTATCCTTCCTCATTGGAGCAAGCACTTGATAATAAAAAATAGATTGTAGATTCTGGAAATTCTACACAAAACCTTTAGCCATATATTCTTCTGACATAAAATTTGTATTTAAGTATTCAAAAGCAACAAAAAGCATGACTTAATGAATTTGACTTGTATTACTGTAAATCTGTAGGACAATTTGCCAGAACAAGAAAAGCAGTGTGATATCTGGGGGGAAAAGGTTAATAATTTTATTTTTATAAGATCAACTACTTTGTGAATGTCTAGGAAAATATCTGAGGGAAGCAGTTCATCGTGTGCTTTTAGGGGAGTGAAGAACTTTGGTATAACTACATTTTCAAAAATCTTAATGAGCATGTCTTTTTTGTTTTTCTCTTTTGCAGTAGTGAGAGTAGAACTCAAGGTCTTCTGCATGCTAGGCAAGCTCTCTACCACTGAACTATACCCCCAACCCTGATCATGTCATTTGGTAATTAGGAAATCATAAAAGGAAAAATGGAAATGATATTGTGAATTTCTAAAAAAATACCAGTGACATGGAATGGAACATCAAAGTCCCGAGTCCTCTTCACTGGGTGTCTTGGGAAATCCTCCCACCTTCTCTAAGGGAGTTGTGCTAATATGAAAAGCTGTCCTTTCTGTCCTGGCACACATGCATCCAGCCTGGAGTTAGGTATTATCTTTAGGTACAGGCAAGGAAGTGACTCCAAGAGTACAAGGGAGTCAGGRAAGAGCTGGCTCTGGAACCTAGATGCCTCTACCATATATGGCTAYTTGTCTATTGCTTCATTTACCCTGCAAATTCCCTCACATGTAGGACTACATGGCCACTTTCTTTTAGCTTCATTGCAAAACAGGCTGGTGARTGATAAGAGGAAGCTTAGCTCACATTCCTGGGGCCCAGTCACTCTATTGGAGAATGTTTGGGGGGGGGGAATCATTGGGACTCAGGGGCTGCTGTCCAGTTAGAGACAGAGCTTCACTCCACTGGGTCCCCAGCTCAGGGGATTGTCCTCATAACCACAGCAGACATGCCTAGGGGAAGTCCAACAAAGAGGCTGCGAACTGCTTTCCATCTCAAGAAAATGCTGGCTGAGGGAAGGAGGGGTGAGGTGGAGTTACCTCCGGGACTCCGAGCAAAAARCTTGATTTCCCCTGCTACCTGCTCGCCATGTGACCTAGGGAACTCCTCTCTCAGSTTTCTCATTTGCCTGGCTCAAATCAATGGCCAAGCTGTGATTGGTAGGTCTGGCCCAGGGAGGGAGGATGAGGTCATCTTTGGTCATTTTGTGTCTTCCCTTATCTCCTCTGATTCAGGGTAGGGTCCTGTTCCTGGTCATCTGTGCAGCTGGCATTGGTGGAACTTTTCAGTTTGGCTACAACCTTTCCATTATCAATGCTCCAACCTTGGTAGGTACCTTCTGTGCCCATTGTTAAGGTCTGAGTGGGTACTGGGTCAGGGCGGAGAGCTGTCCACTATGGGACTTTAGCTCAGCACTCACTTAGTAGTGCCTCTTCCCATCTCTTCTTTTCCACTGGGATGTCCCACAGATTTCTGCAGCTTTACACAGAGCTCTTTGCATCCTCCCCAAAACTAATGTCCTCCTGAGTCTCTGATCTGAATCACCTAATACCTATTGATATGGGGATTATCCTTGACACTTCCCTTCCACTCTTGGACACCAAGCCCATCCTAACTACCTCTAGAATCCAGATATTTCTTTCCATGATTCTGCCACAACCCCAATTCTAGTGCAGCCTTCCTGTCCCCCTCTCCCTCCTTCCACCCCTCTGCCTTCTTTCTCTTCCTCATTTTCCTCCTCCTCCTTCTATTCCTCTTTCTTCTCCTCCCCTTCTTTCCTTCCCTCCTCACCTTTCTCATTCTTTTGCTCATTCTTCTTCCTTCTCCTCCCCTTTCCTGTTCTTTCTTTCCCTCCCTCCCTCCCTTTCTTCTTTCCTTCCTTCCTTCCTTCCTTCCTTTTCTCTGGGATCTGGCTTTATTGCCAAGGCTTGACTCCATTCTGTATTCTCCTCCTGCCTCAGCTTCCTGGGTAGCTAGAAATACAGGCATGTGCTACTCTACCCACTCAGCTTTTTCCTTTTTTGAGCTCCCCTAAGTTTTTCAACTCATTCCCCTGACCAGAAACATTCAGTGATTCTCCCCAGTGTTCATAGGACAGGACAGATTAATCCACCTGAAGTTCAAGGCCTCATGGGATCAAAACCTCTYCCTCTGTCATCCACTTTCAACCTTGATAACAAAGCATGTTAAATGTAGTTTCCCAAATGTCCATGACACAGACCCTTCTATAAGCTTCCTTCCACTGGGAAGCACTCTCTTCTCTCTTGCTCCATGTTTGAGTCCCAGCATTTTACACTATCTGGGCCCATTTTAATGTTCAGTTAGTTCCTATGAGAAAAGATGAATTTTGCAGTCCCGGTAAAAGAAGTTCACCTCTAAATTGCTTGAGTGTGAAGGACAAGTGTCTGGTCACAGAGATGGGAACCATGTGGGGCTTCACCCAGATAGGAGGGAAAAGCTACAGGGACCAGAACCTAAGACAAAACTGTGATTCTGTTGCTCCTGCCTGGCCTTGTTCTCTTCCCAGTGGGCAAGAATGCAACCATCACCAGATTCACTTCCTACCAGCTGAGAACTATTCCCCCTCCCCAGCAGTTGAAAGGTCTGGGAAGAGTCCAGTTGAATCATTTTGGTCACATGCTTACCCCCTAGACTAATCATGTGGTCAGGAGGGTGGCATTTTCAAATTGCCTAGGTCTGAGTCTGGTAATCATTTGAACATTTTTTTTTGGGGGGGGAGTACCAGGGATTAAACTTAGGGGCACTTGATCACTGAGCCACTTCCCCAACCCTATTTTATATTTTAATTAGAGATAGGGTCTCACTGAGTTGCTTGGCACCTCAATTTTGCTGAGGCTGGCATTGAACTAGTGATCCTTCTGCCTCTCAGCCTCCTGAGTTACTGGGATTACAGGCTTATGCCACCATGCCCAGCAGGTGATCCTGTTTATGGAGGCAGAAGGAGCTATAATTGATCAGTGAAGAAAACTTCCTCTGAAGGACAATTTATTAGCAGAAAACGTGAGTATTCTGGGCAGACACAATGATAACAGCCCAGCCCCTTAAAGAAAGGATAAAATTAAAGGTTTCAAGAGGTCTGAACTGGCTACATTGGTTTATAAATTTCATTCAACAAGCATTTTAGTGCCCACTTAAGTGCAGATTCACATATTGGGGAGCAATCTCTTCATGGCAGGACAGGATCAGATCTTTTCTCCTGTGGGACAGCACCATCCCTCAAAACTGAGACTTTCTTGGGCTTGGAGGCTCCTCTTAATCTGCTGAATGATGTTAAAGAAAATATACTATTTTGTTAAAGAAAAAAAAGAATCAATGACACTTGTTAAACCACAGTAAGAAAGAATTTATTGATGGGAAGCCATGGCAATAAGTATAGGGACCACTCATGGGGTCCTGCAGTGGAGGAGAGAGATTGGGTTCAATTCTGAATACAGCAAAGGCAAGTGGGAATTTATAGCCAAGGAGTAGGGTTGGAGTCAGTGGATGACAAATGACTAGAGGAAACATCAGGGATAAGGGCCAATTCTGGCTAAACCAATCTAACTGGATTCTTGTGGAAGGCAGGTGGGGTGTGTTAGAGGATGTGTACCTCATCAATCATCAAGGGTGATCCACTATGGACTACAGGAGATTCTACCTAAACCAACTTATAAGATGTTAAATAAAAAGTACAGAAGGACTTTGTTTTGGATTATGTTTTGTTTTGGGTTGGGCTCCAACAGACTAAGCTAAAAATCAAAATGGAGTCACTAAAAGTTCCATATCATCACAATGAACTAAACTGTTGTTAGTCAGCTTTTTGTCACTGTGACAAAAAGGAAAAGTTTATTTTGGGTTCACAGTTTCAGAGGTGCAGTTTATGGTCAGTGGATTCCATTGCCCTGGGCCTGAAGCAAGGCAGAACATTATGGCAGAAGGGTGTGGTGGAGAAAAGCTGCTCAGCTCATGGAAGTGGGGCCTGCAATCCTCCTGCCTTAGCCTCCCAAGCCACTTCTCCACCACGCCCAGCTGACTCATGGCAGTTGGAAAGCAGAGAGAAAGAGGAGCCAGGGATAAGATATAATCCCAAGTGCACACTCCCGGTAACCTACTTCTTTCAGCTATTTACCCCTATAGTTACCCTATAGTAGTCCTTTCAAATTACTAATCCATAAAAAAACCCAAATTATTAATYCATCAAATGCATTCACCCACTGATGAAGGTTATAACTTTCATAATCCAATCTTTTCACTTCTGACATTGCTATATTACCTAACACCGAACTCCTTGGGGGACTTTATTTTTTTGATACCAGGGATTGAACCCAGAGGCACTTAACCACTGAGCCACAACCCCATCTCTTTTTATTCTTTGAGACAGGGTCTCACTAAGTTGCTTTGGGTCTCACTAAATTTCTGAGGCTGGCTTTGAACTTGCATTYGTCCTACCTCAACCTCCCAAGCYGCTAGGATTAGAGGCACGTGCCACCATGCTCAGCTTGGGGGACATTTTTAAATCAATACCATAACAGCTGCTTATTTGACCTTATGAGATGAGAATTAGAGAGAAAACAGTCAAATTTCCCAAACAGGTCAGTTTTAATACACATGATAATGAAGATTTCACTGCTTTTATCCTTACAAAGAAGTAATCTGAAAAAAAAAATGAAGCTAAATAATCAGTTTCCTATTGTTCTGTCTTCCAGTCTCCACCTTACAAGAAAAATAACTTTGAAATGACTGATTTGCTTTTTGTTTTTGTTTTTGCTTTCTTCAAGCACTTTGTAAAACCAGCCTTCTTGGCTTGGACCATGAAAACACTTATTCTATTTTATGGAATGAAGTGTTGCCTGATTCTAAGGTAGAAAATAAGACCAGTTAGATCAACTAAATTGTTGCAGTTTGTCCTTTGACACAAGATTCTTGCTAGTATTGGATAATGCAGCAATGAACACAGAAGTCCAATCTTTGTCAGTGGCCACTCTTGAAAGGTTAGAGCCAAGGYTGGGGAGACTGGCTCTGGTTCCGGCTCCCCTGGATAGCAGGTGAATGTGGCAAGTCCAGGCTGTCAGTGGTTACCTTAGCTGGCCAGGGTAGGGGAAAGAGCTGGCTCAATAACTGAACCCACTGTTCTCCTTCATGTCCTGATGATGGAGGAGGAGATGATTAAGACTAATATTTCATCCCTAGCCAACCGAAGGGTGTCCAGGTTTTCCCCATACACAGGCTTTCCTAACCTTGGGGCTTCCATTCACTCACCTGAAGTGGCAGCTTTGGAGGGCGGGGCTTAGTGGAGTCTGAACATCCTGGGTGTAATCTTGACCTGTGGCTGAGGACATGGGCAAAATGTTTCACCTCTCTGGGCCCAATTCCAAGACTTAATGAGCAAAGTAACGTGTAATTAATAGTGTACAGTCATCCCTCAGTCTTCATAGGGTTGCAGCCAATCTGCAGTGACCTCACAAGGATAGAACAGAGGGAACTCCTGCATCCCTCTCCSGCCACTTCTAAGGTTCTGCTGGTGCTCATCATTGGCCAAGTCCAACAGAAAGCCAGTCAGGGAGGCAGCCGAGTGATGTGGGCTGTACAGGTGGCTTCCTGGGGCAAAATCAGGGTAGAAGTAGGGCATAGCGGGCTTGAAGGATATAGTTTAATTAGAACCATATTTGGTCTTTGACTCTGGTTCCTGGCTCAGAGCTCCTATAACCCTTGGAATTTTTCTGAATGATAGGAGTATCTTTTATTATTTGGAATGAGCCCCCAACATAAGTTTATAGTAATGAGGTGATTTAGGACTAGGCCCTAGATGGCCTCAGAATAGAGCTGATCATCAGAAAGGCCAAGTGATTAGAGTCAGCTTCTAGACCCACCTGCTGACCTCTGGGAAGGAGAGAAGGGCCTCAGACTAAGCTCTTATAAAAACTGTTGAACAATGAGATTTGATGTTCATATAGGTTTATGAATATACTGAGATGTTGGGAAGGTAGTGTGCCCAGAGAGGGCATGAAAGATCTGAACACCACCACCTCTAGGACCTTGTCCTCTGTTTCTCTTCCATCTGGGTGTTCCTGAGTTATTCTCTTATTAAGGAAGTGACTTTCTGAGCTTTTTGAGCTATTATAGCAAATTATTAAACCCAAGGACAAGGTCATAAGAACGCCCAATTTGTAGGTGGTCAGTCAGGATACAATTGTAATTGGACTTAAAATTTTCATTTGAAATGGAGACAGTCTTGTGGGACTGATCCCTTTGACTTATAGAATTTGATGCTAAATTTCAGGTATAAAGTTTCAGTTTTGGACTACATTACAGTACATCTAGCTGGTGTCCAGAGAGTTGGAGAATTGCTTACTGTAGACAAGTTCCACACATTTGCTATCAGAAGTATTGTGTGAGTATAGAAAAATAGTGTGATTTCATAAAGGGGCAGATAGAGACTATCCAGTGCTAGGAGTTTTCTTTCTTTTTTTTTTTTTTCCTACACCATGGAGAGCTCAAGAGACTTGATGACTGAATTACAGAATCACAGAGCCTTGTGGAGGAGAAGGCCTATCCTGTCCAGTACCAGCATCCCTGTCATCCCCAGGAGGCTGACTGCCATCTCTTTTCACAGCATATTCAGAAATTCACCAATGAAACATGGCAAGCACGCACTGGAAAACCACTGCCTGACCATGTGGTTCTGCTTGTATGGTCCCTCATTGTGTCTCTTTTCCCCATGGGGGGACTTTTTGGAGCCCTGCTTGCAGGACCCATGGCCATTAAGCTGGGAAGGTAAGTGATTTCTGTGTAGCACCCCCTCACCCAGTATCCTTTAATGAGGGGCATCCCAATCTGTAGGTTGAGGAATGTGAAAGGACAATGCCCAGCACCCTCCAGGCCCAGATCAGCTCCTCACCTAGTCTCTCATTCCAGCTGTGTTTTTACATTGAGAGTCACATTTTCAAGGAAATTTGGTAGAGAAAGGAGTTCTGTGCAGTGGTGGAGGGAAGATTCCTGGTTTCTAGTTCCATGTCTGCCAATATGTGCAATTTGATCTTAAGCAAGTATTTTCCAGGCTTTGCTTTCCCCCCTATGTATCTGATGCAGTTCCTGGGTTGCAAACAACAAAAACTGACTCTAGCTCACATGATCAAAAATTGTAAGAACTGGATGGATATTGAGGCAGCTCACAAGGAGGAAAAGAAGTGTTTAAAAGCCAGGCCTTAGCCACAGGTGGTGGCACATGCCTCTCATCCCAGAGGCTTGGGAGGCTGAGGAAGGGGTTTTGTGAGTTCAAAGCCAGCCTCAGCAACTCAATGAGGCCCTGTCTCTAAATAAAGGATTTTTAAAAGGGCTGAGGATGTGGCTCAGTGGTTAAGGCCCCGCATTCAATTCCTGGTACAAAAAAAAAAAAAAAAAAAAAAAAAATGAAAAAGAAAAGAGAAAAGAAAAAGCCAGGCCTCAAGAAGGGCATAAGTCCAGGTGGTGCCAAGGGTCTCAGCAGCCAAAGCTTTGGAATTTCCTTTAGGGAGGATGCCTTCAGCACGCTCAGCTCTATCATTCTATCTACAGTATCTTCATTCAAGATCCAGAATCTGGGAAGACAAGTTGTTCTTGGGTGACATGACTACATTTATGAAGGAGTGGGAAAGAGGCAAATCCAGACAGAACACAAGTGGCTACCACAGTTCACCCCTTTGCTAGCTACCAGACTATACGGACCCTTTCTCCCATACAGGTAGTCTAAAAGTGACCCCACCTAACATGCCGTATACGCCAGCACCTGTATTCACTCTTCCTTGTGTGATTACAGATGCATTGTTTTGAACATTAGAAGCGTTGTTTTTTCACAGCCACCAGGAGCAATGTAATAAAGGTATTCTTCCTGAGTGTGGGAGTTTTATGGAATCTCCATTCTTCTACCAGCCCTGCAGTTAGTTAGGCCCTTTTGATATTCTGTACTTTATGGTAAATTTAAGGACAATATTTTCCCCTTATCTGTGGGGGATATGTTCTAAGACCCAGTGGATGCCTGAAACCACCAAGAGTGCCAAACCTTATACTTACTATATTTTTTCCTGTATACACATACCCATGATAAATTTTAACTTACAAGTTAGGCATAATAAGAGATTAACAATAAAAACTAATAAAACATTGAACAATTAGAATAATAAATTAAAATAATATTTTTTTAAGAGAGAGAGAGAGAGAGTTTTTAATATTTCTTTTTTTTAGTTTTCAGCGGTCACAACATCTTTGTTTGTATGTGGTGCTGAGGATCGAACCTGGGCCGCACGCATGCCAGGCGAGCCCGCTACCGCTTGAGCCACATCCCCAGCCCCTTAAAATAATATATTGTAATAAGAGTTCTTTAAAACATGAATTACTTACTTGACCCTTATTTGTACTCTTTCACTCTATGTCATACCTTACTTACCAAGACATATAGGCTACTTGCTGCTTCCTCTTCTCCAGGTCCTTTCAGTATGAACTCATCAAAGTAGTGGGCCAGCAGGATGCTCCATGGAATAATTGTGGTTCACAGCATAGAACTGTTGTATCATTAAGGCAGTTTGGTTGAGGTGTATTGCTGTCCACGCCAGGTGAAAGCAAAGTGTTTCTGGCATTATCTGTGTATTGAAATGGAAAAAAAAATGCATTCACAGGGCAAAGTCTGTTTTTTGTTTTGGTACTGGAGATTAAACCCAGGGATGCTTTACCATTAAGCTGCATCCCTGCTCCCCCCCCCCACACTTTTGGTACCAGGGATTGAACCTAGGAGTGCTTAACCACTGAGCTACACACCCAGCCCTTTTTAAAATTTTATTTTGAGCCAGGGTCTCACTGACTTGCTTAGGGCCTCACTAAATTGCTGAGGCTGGCTTTGAACTCACAATCCTCCTGCCTCAGCCTCCAGAGCTGCTGAAATTCCTGGCCCTTTGTATATTTTTAAAAGAGGATAAAGTTGCTGAGGCTGACCTCAAATTTGCTATCCTCTTGCCTCAGCCTACCAAGTTGCTGGCTTTATAGACATGAGCCCTCATGCCTGGTTTCTTCTAGGGTTTTCATTAAGCCTAAGAAATGATATATGAGTTCCTTCRTTTTACAAAGGAGTTTGGGGAAAGCAGTGCTCATTCTAAAAAGCAAAAGCCATAAAATATAACCTCTGTCATTTCATGSTGCTGTGCAAGCAGAAAGGAGAGTAATTTGGGGGGGGTGTTGGGGGAGGAGTGTGAGAGTGAGCATTTCAAGGCATTCCACAAGTGAGCCAAGACGCAATGGCTACTGCTTATTTCAATTTATATAATTTATTCTCATTGACAGCACTCACACATGCATACTCACACGCACACACACACACAGGTCTGTGACTGATCAGGACTAGGGGTGATAMAGAAAGGAAAAGAAGGGTCCCTCTGAACCAAACCAAAGTGTCTTTTTCCTGTGTCCCACTTTCCCCAAGGAAGAAGTCGCTCCTGGTGAATAACATCTTTGTGGTGGCTGCAGCGTTACTATTTGGCTTCAGCCACAAAGCAGGCTCCTTTGAGATGATCATGCTGGGAAGACTGCTCATAGGAGTCAGTGCAGGTATGGGGGCATCTCATCCTGCCTGTCTATTCCTATTCATTCATTAGTTCCTTTATTTCCTTCTTTTGTTCCTTTTATTCACTGACATACTTTCATTCACGCCTACCTGTTTTGCAAAATATTAAATATGGTTTATCTTAAAAGACTCGAATAACTAGATATTTACAGTAGATGTATAAAAATGAAGAAGTTGCAGGAATGGGGAAAACATCCTTAAACTTGCACTACCAACACTCCAAACCTGAGTTTCCTGGCAGCCAAGGCATAAAGGGACATAGGATTACTTCTCTAACATTCTCTTCCCCTTATCTGGGGCAGATATGTTATATATCCCCTTTTCTGTGGGGAAAGGATAGCATCTTAGGAACTCCTGAGTTTCTGAGGCTTGATATGTGAGGGAGAAGAAGTTTTAGTACATATACATAAGCTTTTAGGGATTACAATTAAGTTACAACTTGATTCTCTACTTTTATACAGCCAGATATTGATGTCCTTATTAGTTACCCATACCTGTGAAACAAATTACCCCCAAACTTAGTGGCTTAAAACAACCAACATGGTTTATGTGTGTGCGTGCACTGCTGGGGATGCAACTCAGGGCCTTGAGCATGCTAAGTAAGTTTTCTACCACTGAACTGCAGCCTCAGCCCGTAACCACTTTTATAATACCAGTTTCTGTGGGTCAAGAGCCTGGAAATGCCTTAGCAGGGTAGCTCCAGCTTGGGGTCTCTCGTTAGGTCATGCTCAGCTGTCAGTTACAACTGCTACCACCTGAAGGGGCTGGATGATCTTTTCCGAGATGGTTCCCTCATAGGCCACTGGCAGGAGGCTCCAGCTCCTCACCCTGTGGGTCTCTCTGTAGTGTTCTTTGAATATCCTCATGAAACATGGCAGCTGGTATTCTCCAGAGTGAGTGGAGAGAGAGGCGGGGCTGGGGGTGGATGAAGAGGAATTTTGAGTGCTCTTTGTGTCCCCCTTTCAGAAGTCAGGCACCCCCAGTTTTCCCACATTCTATTCATTGAAAGTGAATCTCCAAGAACAACCCACACTCCAGGGGAAAGRAACTAGGTCAGACTTTGTCATTTTTCCCTGAATATATCCAAAAAAGAAGGAATCCCTCCTCAAATGTTGGAAGGAAGAGCAGAGGTAGCCCTGAGACTCCTTGACCATCAGAGCAGTTGCCTTCCTCTGAATTCTCATCACCCATGAGAAAGGGGCTGACACTGATGGGAGATGTTTCCTGACCCCAGGTCAGAGAGTGGGGTGGAGGTTTCCCAGGTATATGATATCCTAATATGGCCTCCTAGCTTTTGGCATTTGTAATGAATGAATAGTGGGGTGGGCAGCAAGGGCACTGTCCAGTTTTGTTTTCCCATTGGCTGTATAGGTGCCAGATGTGTCCATGGGGGAACTGGAATGAGGTGAGGACCTACATCTGTAGTGGTCAATGTAAAGCATTGAAATGAGAACCTGGAAAGCTGGAAGGCATCCAGAACATGGTCCTTCCCTTTTCCTTCCACCCCCAGCACTTGAGAGACTGTATACCAACTTTCCATCACTATAATGAAATACCTGAGGCTATTAACTTATGAAGAGAAAAGATTTATTTTTGGCTCTGGTTCTGGAGGTTCCAGTCTAACATTGTTTGTTTTGTTTTGTTTTGGTACTGGGGATTGAACCCAGAAGTGCTTCACCAGTGAACTACATCCTCAGCCTTTTTAATGTTTTATTTTGAGGCAGGGTTTCACTAAGTTGAGAGCCTCACTAAGTTGCTGAGGCTGGCCTTGACCTTGCAGTCCTCCTGTCTCAGCCTTCTCAGTTGCTTTGGATTATAGAGGTGCACCACCAWCCCCGGCTCCAGGCCAACATTGGAGTGGCACTTTTGTTTTAGTCCTCTGGTGATGACAACATATTATGGTGGGAGTATGTGTAGGAATAAGTCATTCATCTCATGAGCCAGGAAGCAAAGAAGAAGAGTAGGAGACTGAGGTCCCACAATCTCCTTTAAGATCTTGCCTCCAAGCCAGGTGTGGTGGTGCATGCCTGTAATCCTAGCTGCTAGGGAGGCTGAGGCRGGAGGATCACAAGTTCAAAGCCAGCCTCAGCAGTGGGGAGGAGCTAAGCAACTCAGGGAGACCCTGTCTCTAAATAAAATACAAAATAGGGCTGCGGATGTGTCTCAGTGGTCGAGTGTCTCTGAGTTCAATCCCTAGTACAAAAAAAAAAAAAGAAAGAAAGAAAAAGATCAAGCCCCCAATGACCTAAGGACCTCTCATAAGGCCCCACCTCATAAAGGTCCACAGTATCTCCCAAGAGCAAGCACCTGGAGACCAAACCTTTAACACATGGGCCTTTGGGGGACATTCAACGTTCAAACTGTTGCAGAGACTTTAATACCTAGAAAGATCCCATGAATATGTGGGATTGTGATGAGGAACCAAGGGATGGGGAGAGCCTATCTGGGAAAGATGACTTCTCTCCCAGGAATCCTGAGGCGTTGAGCTGGGACCTATCATCCCTATAGAAGGCGAGGTGGAACCTCTCAGAGTGTGGGGGGTGAGGGAATGGCCCACTGAGTCACAGCCCAGCAGACAAGAGGCAAGAAAGACATGCAGGCCTCACAAGGACCCTCTTTGTGGCTGAGCACCCTTGCTGTGCGCATGTCCAGGCGTGAGCATGAACGTTCAGCCTATGTACCTGGGGGAGAGTGCTCCCAGTGAACTCCGAGGAGCAGTGGCCATGACCTCAGCCATCTTCACAGCCCTGGGGATCGTGATGGGACAGGTGGTCGGATTGAGGTGAGTACCCCTCCCCCTATGCAATTATGGCCCCCTTTGCTTTCAGGGACGCCAGTAAAAATCTGTCTTCACTCAGATTTCTCCCCTCCCCACCATTTGATTAAGGCATTGCTTCTATGCATGAGGGCATCAAAACCCTGTTCACAGCCACGTGTCTAATATAAAAAAAAAGAGCTTTTCAATCAGCCAAACTTTGGTATGAATCACCTTTTCCCATCTTCTCCAGGGTAGGGAGCAAAGAACAGTTCTTGACAGCAGGGAGGGTGAAGATTTGGGCTTTTGAAGAGGAACTTGTTCTGGCCATCATAGAAAAAAAAAAAAAAAAAAAGGAAAGTGCAGAGCTTGGATCCCCAGGGAGAAAAATTGCTAGGGATAAGGTGGGGCAGGGGCCCTTCCCTCTCTCAGTTCCTACCTGGTTTGGAAGGATCTTGATGTCCAAACTCAAAGCTAGATGGAAAGAGTCACAGGCCAACATGACCCTCTGCAAGCAGGTTAGTAAGGCAGGCAGGGGTCAAGGGGGAAGGGGAGGAGACAACTGTTCTGTCCTGTCCTCTGCCTTCCCAGGGAGCTGATGGGTGGCCCACAGGTATGGCCCCTTCTGCTGGCCAGTTGCCTGGTGCCTGGGGTACTGCAGCTCGTCTCATTGCCCCTGCTTCCTGAGAGCCCACGCTACCTCCTCATTGACTGTGGAGACACAGAGGCCTGCCTAGCCGGTGAGTCCCTGCCCTTGGGCCTCTGGACTCTACTTGTTCCAAGGATGCATCTCACCAGTACAGGTCCTCATCTTTTGGGTTTTATTTAGTAGGGAAAAGCTCTTTTCTTTGTGTCTCAACTTCATGATCTATTCACATATGCCTTCAAAATTCTTTGTCAAAGGGATATCCTAAATTATAGGGTAATAGGATGGGTCAGACCACCTTTGTCATCCAGGAAATCCAGGTGTACATAAACACACACACACACACACACACACACACACACACACACACACGAGAGAGACACTTATGTAAGACCTCACCTGCCCAATGCCAACTGGGTGATGATTGTTGTATCAGTTAACTATAATAAATATGGTCAAGGAACAATTGCAAAATCTCTGGCTTAAAACAACAATCATTTACCACATCTTTTACTCATTTATTCCTTTGGCAGCACAACTCTGCTGATCTCAGCTGGGCCAGGAATTGGTCAAGTCTGGTCTGAGCTGGGCTGCTTCAGTTCTGTATATTTGTCCTTCTTCTAAAACTCTTGGTACTAATGAACTCAGGGATGTTCTTAGTGTGGTGGTGGCAGAGGCACAAGAAAGCAAAACAGTTGCACAAGTACTTTCAAAACCTTCATCCCTCAACCCCATACCCATTAATGTCCCATTCACATGCTGGTGAATCCAGAGCCTCAGAATGGGAAAATCAATGACGTGCTCTCCCATGGCAAAGAGTGGGGTTTAAGGAGGGATGAAGACCAGGGCCCAGGAATGTATTCTTATTGATTGGCCATCATGACCACATTTTTCTTTTTTATTTTGAGATGGGGGTCTCTGTATGTTCTAAAGCTCGTCTCAAACTCCTGAACTCCTCAAGTAATAGGCAAAGTGCCATGCCTGTCATGGTCACAATTATTATGTATATCCCTCCTCTCTGCAAAATATGTTCAGACCCATCTCAGGATCCCCCAAAGTCTCAGTCATGACATCAGTTTTGAAGTCCCAGATCCTTTTTTTTTTTTTTTTGACCATGTATTGAACCCAGAGATGTGTGACAAATAAGTAACATTCCCAGCCCCCCCCGCCCCCCCCGCCACCGTTTTTAATATAATTTTTTTTAGGTAGATGGACCCAATATCTTTATTTATGTGTTYATTTATTTATATGTGGCACTGAGGATTGAACCCAGTGCCTCACACGTGTGAGGCAAGTGCTCTACCACTGAGCTACAAYCCCAGCCTTCCAGCTCTTTTTTATTTTACTTTTTTGAGACAGGGTCCTGCTAAGTTGCTTAGAGCCTCACTAAGTTGTTGAGTCTGGCTTTGAACTTGTGATCCTCCTATCTTAGCCTCCTGAGCCACTGGAATTACAGACTTGCGCCACTGAGCCCAGAGAAGTACCAGATCTTAGGATCACATTGAATTATTTGTACCTTTTTTTTTTCCTTAGTACTGGGTATTGAATCGAGGGCCTTGCACTTGCTGGACAAGCACTCTCAGCCTTGAAAGCTACATTCTAAACCATTTTATTTATTTTGAAACAGAACCTGGTTAAATTGCCCAGGCCGACCTCAAACTGGCAATCCTCCTGCTTCAGTCTCCTGAGTCCTTGTAATTAGAGGTTTCTACCATGCTCAGCTTTTATTATTTTTTTGAGATCGGTTCATCCTAAGTTGCCTAGGTGGGCCTCAAACTTTCAGTCCTCCTGCCTGAGCTTCCCTGTAGCTGGAGTTACAGGTGTGATCACTGCTTCTGGCTATGTGCCTTTTTTCCATCTAGATACCATGGTTTTTAAAAAACAGGTCTTGGGGTTGGGGAAGTGGCTCAAGCGGCACCGCGCTCGCCTGGCATGAGTGCGGCCCGGGTTCGATCCTCAGCACCACATACCAACAGAGATGTTGTGTCCACCGAGAACTAAAAAATAAATATTAAAAATTCTCTCTCTCTCTCTCTTTTTCCTCTCTCCTCTCTCACTCTCTCTTAAAAAAAAACATAAAAAACAGGTCTTCTAAATTTAAGACTATAAACTTCTTAGAAGAAACAGATATAAATGTATGGGCTTTGGATTCAGCAATCGTTTTTTCAATATGACAACGAAAGTATGATCGACAATTAAAAATATAGATAAGTAGATATCAAGAACTAAAAAAAAAGCTGTCATGCTTCAAGAAGATAAGAAAATAAAAAGGCGTTGGGTGCGGTGGCACACACTTGTAATCTCAGGGGCTAGGGAGGCTGAGACAGGAGGATCGTGAGTTCAAAGTCAGCCTCAGCAACAGTGAGGCTCTAAGCAACTCAGTGAGACCCTGTCTCTAAATAAAATACAAAATAGAGCTGGGGATGTGGCTCAGTGGTTGAGTGTCCCTGAGTTCAATCCCTGGTATCCCTCCCAAAAGAAAAAGAAAGTAAAAGGCAACTTGTGGAATGGGAGAAAAATTTTTCAAATCATTTAACTGGAAAATGAGTTGTATCTAGAATATGTAAAGAACTCATAGCTCAGYAACAAAAAGATAACCAATTTTCAAATGGCAAAGGATCTGAAAAGACATTTTTACTTAGAAGATATACAAGTGGCTGATACGGGCATGAAAAAATGCTCAACATTGGGGCTGGGGAGTTAGCACAGTTGGTAGAGTGCTTACCTTGCATACACAAAGCCCTGGGTTCAATCCCCAGCACCAAAAGCTCAACATCATTATTCACCAGAGAAAAGCAAATCAAAATCATAATGAGATGCAATTTCACATCCATTATGATGGCAATAATTTAGAAAGTCACATAGAAACCAGTGTTGGCAAGAACATAAAGAAATTGGAACCCTTAATGTAAAATGGTGTGATAATTTAGGAAAACAATCTGGGAGTTCCTCAAATGATTTAAATAGAGAGTTACCACATAACTCAGCCATACAACCCAAGGGAAATGAAACCTATGCCCCCCGCCCCCCCMAAAAAACTTTGTATGTGAATATTTGTAGTAGCATTATTCATAATAGCCAAAAGGTAGATGCAAATAAAGCATCCATCAACTAATGAATAGATCAATAAAATGTGCATATTCATACATTGGAATATTATTTAACCATAAAAAGGATTGAGTAATTGATACATGTTGCAATGTGTATGAACCTTAAAAACATGCTACAATTCACAATATCCAAGTTATGGAAACAGCCTAGATGTTCATCAACAGATGATGGACAAAGAAAATGTGGGAGAGATACACAATGGAGTTTCATTCAGTCATAAAGAAGAATCAAATTATATCATCTTAAGTGAAGTAAACCAGACAAAGAAAGTAAAGGGCTATATGTTTTCTCTGATATGTGGAAGTGAGAGAGGAGAAAGGGAAGGAAAAAAGGAATCTCATGAAAATGGCAGGAAGACCCATAGAGTAGGGACAGGGGATGGGGGAAGGATGAGGAAAGGGCAGGTTAGGGGCTGAGGAAGGAAACTAAGCAAGTTTGTCATGTGCGTGTATAAATATGCCACAATGAAATTCACTATTCTGTCTGCGCCAATAAAAAACTTATGCTATGTAAGAGAAGCCAGTCACAAAAAGCCACATGAATGATTCCATTACATGAAATGTCCCGAACAGGCAAGTTTGTAGAGAGAGAGAGATTTGTGTTTCCTGGGGCTGGGGGCATGAAGGGCTGACTGGAGTGTGACGGCTAAGGGATTTCTCTTCATGGTTCTAAAATTCATTGTGGTGATGGTTGCACAACTCTGAACTCATTAAAAACCACTGAGTCATGTTCTCAGAAAAAAAGGACCTAAAAGGGTGAATTGTGTGGTATGTAAATTATATCCCAAAATAGATGTGTTTTTTTTTTAAATGATGAACTTCTAAAACTGAGTAAAAGAAGTGGAAGAGGTTGTAAGTTAAAACAAGTTCACTTGTTGAATTAAAACAGTTGACGGAATTTCCACCTGAAAATGTCTATGTTCTCACTGAGATAGACTTCCTAGCATAACCATATGCTAGTAAGAGTTTGTAATTCGAAAATGATGTGTCAGATACAAATAATGCAGAGGTAGCACAGTTCCAGGTAATGACAAGCTCCAAGGTGTGTCCAGAGCGTTTGTGGGTGGCTAAGGTGGAGTGGAGGAGGAGTCGCCAGAGACCAGGGAAGTCAGGGAGCTTAATGCAACCAGAAGTATTTGCTAAATTGAATCAAGGAATTACTTCCCTAACTCGCCCTGTGTCAGGCAGTATTAAAGCATCAATGTAACTTTTAAAGTCTTAAAAATTACCATATTTTCCCTAGGCAAATTTTATTTTTATTCTACTGAATTCAGGGTTAGGTGTATGAATTTGAAAGGAGAGCACACTCAAGTTACTTCTCATGTGTGGAAGAAAAAAGAAAAGGAGATTTTTTTTCAATACTCTATAATTACACTAAGAATATACATAAAAGAAACTTTAGGAGAATAAGCTTCCAGAAATTTAGAAGCAAAACAATGAATATACAAGACCATAAATAAAATACTGAGCACCTTTGTCAACTGATTCCAAAGATTCACCTAAGACCATCTTCCTTTGCAGTTCCAAGATTAGCAGAGTCTGAGGGAGGGTTTCTGGGAACCCCATAGGCTTTTTCCCTTCATCAACCCAACCCAGAGGATTTTCTCATGTCCCAGCTGATCTTTTCTTAGAAGCCATCATTTGCTCTCACCTGTGGGGTCCCTACACTCCCGGTCTCCAAATATAGTTTGGAGTATAATTTCCCCAATTTCATTGTTCCCAAATCAGTCTCCTCCACTAAGACACACTAAGAGTCCAAGGAAGGATATAGAATCCATTGCATTCAGCACTGAGTAATAAGGAGAATTGGATGGGTGTTTACAAATTAACTAGAATGATTGGAGGACTAGGCTCTAGGTAGTGGCTACAGGAACATTCCCAGAGAAACACAGAACTGAACATCCAGGCAAGCTACTGGCTCTGCAGTGTACAGGATGATGACCAATCAGTCAACTAACACTGGAACTGCTGAGGTTATGAATCTGCAAGCATAGCTGTGATCCTGGAATCAGAAAGTCAGGACCAGGAAACTACCACTGTCACACCACAACTGCTTCTCAACACCCATAAAGCCAGTGACTGGATACTAGACCAATTCAGAGAAACCTCAAGATTTTGGGAATGGTCCAAGATCTTGTTCACCAGCAGAAAAAGTAAAAACTTGGAAGGGAAGTAGTTTCTGTTTCACTTCTACTTTCTAGGCTAAAATCAGAGTGTGTATAATAAATTCATCCAGGAGAAAAAAAAAACAAAAACAGGTCTTCTTCCCATCCCACACTCAACTCCCATGGGAGTTGTATAATGGTCAAAGTGAGACAAGGTAACCAGAATTTAAGAGTTTAATTTCAAACACCAGGTGGCCAAAAGGCACAAAGCAGTCATTGATCCATAACAATTCTGAAATGCCCCTGGGAACACTTGCCAGGTTTCCCTGGCTTAGAGGTGGGGCTTGATCTGCCCCCTGGGAAGGGTTCTCCATGGTTTTTGCTTCTGCCCTCTGAGATAGTCCTCCTTTTCTGTCACCTTCCTTTATACTTTCTGGAGAGTATTGGGAAGTGTGCTGCTTTTAGTGGTTGAGTAAATTTCTCAGCTGCTGCCTGTAGGAAGTTAAGGCATTGAGGTCTTTATATTTCAAGCTGTTGCAGTCTTTTTTTTGTCTAACTGGCAGAGCTTTTGCTAATACAGTCTTCTCAAAAATACAGTCTTCTCAAAAATGATGTGAATTTTCTATGTATTTGATTTACATGCAGAGAGAGAGAGAGAGAGAGAGAGAGAGAGAGAGATGTGTGTGGAGATATTTTGGGGTGGGGTGAAGGGTTTACTGCTGGGTAGTATCAAAGAAGGCCTGAGGGAGAGGAAGTGTAGCACCCTTCTCTGTCTCAGCTCTGCAGCTGCTGCGGGGCACCCAGGATGTGGCAGAGGAGTTTGAAGAGATGGAGGAGGAGCGTGCTGCCTGCCAGGGCCGCCAGGCACGGCGCCCATGGGAGTTGTTCCAGGACCGGGGCCTGAGAAAGCAAGTGACAAGCCTTGTGGTGCTGGGCAGTGCCATGGAGCTCTGTGGGAATGACTCGGTGAGGCTCTGCCCTGTCCTGTCCCGCACCCTAGGTCTGCTGAGGGTTTGTGCTGTAGGCAGGTGGGAGCCATGGAAGGTTGAGGGGAACCAATGCTTCAGAGCTGCCCCTCCTGCTGGCCCAATCCTAGGTGTATGCCTATGCCTCCTCAGTGTTCCGGGAGGCAGGAGTGCCTGAAGAGAAGATCCAGTATGCCATCATTGGAACTGGGAGCTGTGAGCTGTTTGCAACTTTTGTTAGCGTGAGTCTAGATTCGGGCCCATCCCTATCCCCAGTCCTGCCAGAGGGACGCTTGGGATACTGATGCTCTTAGGACTTTGCATTAAGCTATTTTCCACTCCTGTTCATGGTGGTAAAGTACAGCAAGTTGGCAAGCATTCCTACTGTTGGCTGGGCATTCACACCATTGCTTTGAGATGAGAACCCTAAATGAAGTTGAGTAATTAACCAAGGTCCTCTGGGACATTAATAAAGTTGTGACCTTCTGAAGCAATAAACTGCACCTCCCTCTTAACACACACCAGCTTTCCCATGAGACCCCTCTGTATTGCCCAGTGTGTGGTACCTTCCTGAGTGGCTCCTTTCCTTTGCAGTGCGTGGTGATTGAGAGGGTGGGTCGGAAGGTGCTGCTGGTAGGGGGATACTCTCTGATGACCTGCTGGGCCAGCATCTTCACAGCTGCGCTGTGTCTGAAGGTAGCTGGGGGGAGGGGGCGGGGTGAGGGGTGGTAGCTGGGCCWGGTCTGTTTTCCACCTCACTCCACCTTATCTGCTGCAGAGCTCCTTCCCCTGGATGCCCTATCTGGCCATGTCCTGCGTCTTTGCTTTCATCCTCAGCTTTGGTATCGGCCCTGGTGAGTGGGCCTGAGGGCCTCTGGTCTTTGGGCCTTGCTGAAGGAACAGTGGGTGACTGAGTGAATGATGGTGGATGTGACTGTAATGTCATTTTCAAATCCCAGACCCACTTGTGCTGAGGCTTCTGGGAGGACTAGAGGAGGACATCCAGGGGCCCCCATGCAGATGGGACTAAGATGACAGAGAGGCAGGGCAAAGAGCCCTGGATGATAGCCCTCTGACCTCTTCTTCTAGCTGGAGTGACGGGAATCCTGGCCACAGAGCTGTTTGACCAGACAGCCCGACCTGCTGCTTACATGGTCTGTGGAGCCCTGATGTGGATCATGCTCTTCCTGGTTGGAATTGGGTTCCCCTTTGTCATGGTAGGCCTGCCCTTCCCCCCGGGGTGGGAGGCCCTGCTTCAGGTTTTGTCCCTGTCACTGGAGCACCCCAGGGAGTGGTGCCTCTGTACATGAGAACTGAGGCCAAGCGGGAGGGACCTTATGTGAACCAAGGGAGCAAGTCTTTTCTCATAACTTGTCATGGGCCTTCCATTGAGAAGGGGCCCAACAGGTCTCGGGGTCTCTTTAACCCACAGGAGAGCCTGTCCCACTTCCTCTTTGTTCCYTTCCTCGGTGTCTGCGTCTGTGGAGCCATCTACGCTGGATTGTTCCTCCCTGAGACCAAAGGCAAGACATTCCTGGAGATCTCTGAGGATTTACACAGACTCAGCTTGCCCGCGCAGGCCCAGGGCCCCACAAGGAGCAGCAGGGAGGTCATCCAGTCCACAGAGCTATAGCTGCACAGTTGTGGCAGGGGCTAAAGGTGGCTGCTGCCCTGTCCTTTGCTTTTCAGAATGACTTGCATTTTAACAAGTGTTTATTCAGCACCTACATTTGCCCTTTTTATACTTTGATATAATTCTATATTATTTGTACACATTTGTGTCCGGCTTTCTTTGGAAAAGTTTAGTTGCGTGTGTTAGTATACATTCCTTTGTGTTGCTGAGTAGTTATCCCCTGTATGGATATACCATGATTTGTTTATCCCTTTGCCTATTGGGGGCTGGGGATACAGCTCAGTTGGTACAGTGCTTTCCTTGCATGCATAAGGCCCTGGGTTCAATCCCCAGCACTGCCAAAAAAAAAAAAAAAAAGTCTTTGGTAGACATTTGGATTACTTCTAATTCTTGGCCATCATGAATAAAGCTGCTGGTGAGTATTCCTATGCAAATTGTTGTATAGATGTGTATTTTCATTTTTTGTGCATCTGTTTGGGCTGCTATAACACAGTATCATAGACTGGGTGGCTTATAAACAATAGAAATATACTCCTCATAATTCTGGAGGCTGGAAAGTCCAGGGTCAAGGGCCCACTTCCCGGTTTATAAACATTTGTTTTCTCGCTGTAACCTCCCATGGCAGAAGTGAAGAACTTCATCTCTTTTATAAGGCATTAGTGGATCCCATTCATGAAAGCTCTACCCTCATGACCTAATCACGTCTTAAAGGCACAACTTCCGAATACCATCATATTAGGTAGTAAGAAATCTCTGGAGAGTAATATTTATTTGGGAATGACAGAGCATTGCAATGGGAATATGTGGACCAATACTAATCTATGGGTGCATTCAAGAAGGTCAGACAAGTAGTTTTTATAGGGAAAAAAGGGAAATTTTTTGGTGAGCTGCGTGGATTAAAAGTATTCATTGGTCTGTTTTGCAAGGTGATTATAGTAGTGTTTTATACTTTCACTAGCAGTGATTTGAGAGTTCTGCATACTCCAAATCATCAAAATTTGGTTGGTATTGTCAGTATTTTCAATTTGACCATTCTAGTGAGTGTGTAGAAAGTAGTGTCTCTTTGTGCTTTAATTATGGTATTTTCTTGATGACTAATAATGTTGACCAYCTTTTCATGTGTTTAGTATGACCATTTATCTGCTTTTGTGAAGAATCCTTTCATATCTTTTGTCTACTATTTTTATTGAGTTACCTTATTTTTTTAATTAACAAGCATTTTTATTAACTTTTTTGAAAAATTGATTATGAGTTTAATATTATATTTTTAATATTATATTTTTACCTGGGCAACACATTTATAGGTTCTTAGGAATAAGAATCAAAATAAAATAGTCATTAATGTAACTAGACTACATAGTTGTATCAAAAAAGAGAAAAAAATCAGTGTTTTGTAACTAAGTCTGAGTTTAGAATATATCACCTGCTTTAAATAATATTTAAATCCTAAAAGATGAAAGACATTTTGCAGGAGAAAACAGCCTCAAGAAGGAAACATTACAAAAGATATAATAATAATTACTTTGAATCAAATTTATGAACCAACTTCTTTCTCCAAACAAGATTCCATGTCTCTAAAGAACACAGGTTTCTAATTCCAGAAAGATAGTTGTCAAAACTTTAAATACTTCTCTAACAATTACATTCTCTATCTGGATCAAACTTTTACTGCCCAACATTTCTTGCCATTTTTTTATTGTCAACAAAGCCTAGGTGCCGGACTTTGTGAACTATGACACAGCTATACCTTTAAGTAATTATTATAACTAATATATCTAATAGTTATTTGCTAAGAGTAATAGAATGATATACATATACCCCTTATAAACTAAAATAGTACTTCTGCACACTTTTCTGTGCAAGAGTTTTATTAACCCAGAATACACTCAAGGAAAACCTTTTGACTTTCATTTCTAATCTATATAGGCCTATAATAACCAAATTTATTAAGTTATGACAGAACTGCATAACATTTCTTAAAATTTCCTTCTTGAGCTCTGTGAAACCTCAAAAAGCAATCTATTCACTAATGGTCTGTTAGACATAAATAATCAAATCATGTACTCTGTATATTTAATACCAATAAAATATAATCAACATTGTATAATTAAAACTGTCAAGCTCTACTTGAAAGCCTTAAAAAATGACTCTGGAAGAATTAAGCTATTTTATTTAACATGTAATAGATAGTTGGCATAAAGCAAAGTTTATGTATTTAGTTTTCTCATATTCTATTGTATTTCCATAAACCATTAAGATATAACTTTAGGTATTTTTCCATCAGTAAGGCCAGATATAGATGATTTCTTTTTATAGGTAACTGAAGGTTTTAAGAGGGTTTAGACTGAAAATCAGGTACCATTTAGTCATAACATGATATAAAGACCTTTAATCAGGAAAAATATTTTTAACATTATTGCTTAAGTCTTATAAACATGTTGAATTTTAACCAAATTGATACCTCTCCAGTCTTGTTTCCTTTACTATTAAGTCATATTTTTTGGCAAATATATAGGTAATGATGTAATTTTAAAATTAAATTAACTGTGAATAAATTCTAATTTGTTGGTCAGTGCATATATTTTGCCCCCACT